AGCTTCAGCAATAACTAATTTAATTGATAATGTGAACTGGAACAGAATCACAGTAGCTGCCTTATCGCCGACTCTGCTGACATCAGCCCCTCGGTACAGTGCCATCACACTGAAAGCAAGTCGGTTTGGAATACAGGGCGATGTTGAAGAAGAAGCATCCGGTACTCAGTCAAACCTCATGTCCAATGGTTCATCGAATCCTTTGTCTTCGTGTGGCCCCGTAGCCAAGAAGGAGGCCACAGGTGAGCCAGCCGCCGTGGAGACATTAAGCATCCCGCCGGCGCCGCTACCTGTGGCGTTCCGCACTGCGATGCTGGTGACGTTGATGCCCAGAGTGAGTCTTGTCTGCTCGAGTGCTTTCTCTGGCACCGCGAAGGCCTCCAGCTTCTTTTCGCCATTGGCCATGTAGGAGTTCTGGCAGCCCCTGCATATGCAGTCCAGACAGGCTTTGCGGTTGGAGTAACAGGGGCATCGCTGTCCACGGCATGTAAGAACACTTGGGTTTTGAGTTGCTCTGCCGCACTTGCAGCCCTTTTTCTCCTGCGCCTTTTTGTACACCACTTTCGTGGGGCTCCCAGGAATGAGGGCGTTAGTCAGAATCCGTTCTTTCGTCTTCGGAGTGCCCTGTTTGGACTTAGTGTATGCCTTTTTGGGTCCATGGTTGTCAATGGTCTTTTTGACAGTTTTAGCAGGCACCAGTAATGCCTTGCCCACCTTAGAAAGGCCACCACCGTTGGGCACCGCTGCCATGTGGGGGATAGTCTGAGTGGGAGATTTAGGTTCGCACTTGACTGGAACAGGGGCGGAGGCGCCCAACGTGGGGCCGCGGATGAAGGTGGAAATAGGTACGGGTTGAATCTTCTCGCTGTCGCTTTCTGACCGTGAGCGCTTCCGGTTGGACCGTGGCATTTTAGGTGTCACTGCGGAACAGGATATTCCCAAATGTTGTGGATTCTTTTGGGACGTCGGGTGCTGGGGGACGAAAACTTCCTGCGAGTCTTGCGGGAGAGAGGAGAGCTGCCGAGCAGAGTCGACCGATGCAAATGGTCCATTCAAGTTTGCCGAAGGTTCGTGTCTCGACTGCAATATTGCAGGACACTCATCCTGGGCAACGTGGTCTGGTTCTAGAGTCCTGAGCACTTCCTCTACACTCAAGAGGAGAGTCCCGCCATCATGTTTAATATCCTCGCCAAAGCCACAAATGTCCATGGTGCTGGTACAAAGCTCCTCGCCTGCAGCTGCCACTGCCTCGCACACGGGGATCTCATTTGTGAAACGCTCTTGTTTCACTGAGTCGCCCCCGCTTTCCACCGAGTCTGGAACATTGGCCTCTAGTGAAGGTAAATTGGCGGTCAACTCCTCCACGTTGGTCAAGCCATTGCAGTCTTGGAGACCGTTCACCCCTAGAGGACTGAGGTCTTGCTCCTTGATCTCTGTCGATGGGGACTGGCCCTCATCGGGGAGCGTTTCTGAGGTCGAGGGTGTAGGGGACTGGTTTGTCAAGCTCAGGGAAAGTGACTCCTCCCCCTGTCTGTTGTTCAATGAGAGGCCCTCATTCAACAGAGCCAGGATGTCTGGGGACCCTCCCACAGTACTTGAAATGTGCTGGGCGAGAGGAGAATCTGCGACGTACTCGCAGAGCTTTCTGTAGCAGTCCACCAAGATGCACAGCTGCTTATTCTCTTCAAACTGCTCGTAGTCTTTACACCAGCTGCACGATGGTTTCATCATCATCTTTTTACCTTTACATGATTTACAGACATAGTGCTGGCACGATGAGTTGGTTGGAGCGATTGGATCTTGTAGTAAATTGCCTAAATAAAGAAAGAAACCATGTTTAGATCACGAAACAACAGAATAGGTATTATAACACCCCATCTACATGCTAATTATTTAAAGAGCAGCCTAAATAGGCTGCTTGGATGCTGTACCTTTAAAATGATCATATAAATGACATATAAATAAGACATGGTTCTGTAACATTCAAGAAAAGCCGCGCATATGTGCTGATGCTAAACGGTCTTGTGATGTTGCATGATGTGGCTCATATTACATGCTCAGCATATGGTTAGCAGGGATCTCAAATGCATATGCATTGTTTTTATAAACACATGCATGTTATGTAAACATGCACTGCTTAATATAAATATTAAGCAATTACTGCTGTGATTAGAAAATATACATGGATTATCAATAGCTATATTTTAAGAAAGAAAATTAGCAACGAATTGCTAACTCATTCAAAATTAAGGCATTACTGCATACAGGGTTCCCACGCCTGTTGACCAAACAATTTTTTACTACAATCAATGTATTATTTGCAATCAAAAAGTGCATTTCCAGCTAATTATA